AGCTTGTAATTTTTCCACAGTGCTCAGGTCTAATCAAACTCACACAGTCTCTGAAAAATTATGTCAACGCTTGAACCACCCGCACTCTTCTCTCTCCAAGTATTTGATGACCATTTCTAATTAATAGAAAATTACAGCCAGATGTTGGGAGCTCCTCATTTTTTGGAACCAGACAGAAACACAGGCTGCTCTACTCCAAATGTGATTTGCTTCGAGGCAGCCTGGGCCTCACTTGGAGATTTGTTATAAATGTAAAATCCAAAGCCTCAAGCCAGACCTACGGAACCCAAATTTGCGTTTCTCCAGGCTTCCATTTGTTTTTGGGATTTTTATACTTAGACAAACTGAAGGACAGAGAAAACAGAGGGTTTCCTTTCCTTTTTTGAAAAGCAGTTTATATGCCCGAATGAGGCATATTTCCTTCCTTCTCCTTGTTCCACAGTTAAGCTGAGACTATTTCTTCTCTCCTCACAGTACTCAGTTTGTCTCTCAATTACAATGCTCTGTACTCACTTTTAACTCTCACATTCTCTATTAACTACTCAAGGTTGACAAATTAAAATAAAATAAATTATTGCCTTATTTTATTTTATTTTATTTTATTTTTATTTTTTGTGCTCAGAGACAATCTTCTCAAATAAGACATCCATAATCAGTGTATCTTTTTCTTTACGGAACACTTTCTTTTCAACCCAATGCCTTTGGACTGTTGTTCCATCAGATCAGGTTCTCACTAAGTTCAACCGTTATCTATATGCTTCTCGCCACACTGTACTATATTCCTTTCTTTATTTTCTATGCAACACTTGGTATCATAGGAAAATATGCATGAATGAAGAATAACATAGATGATTTTATGGCTTAAGATGCTTGCCTTTTACTACCTTTTCCTAAATAAATCTTTCCAGTCATTTTGACTTTTTCCCTCTGATTTCTGAAAAAAAGGCAGACATTAAAATACATGCATGTTTTAGATTTTGCAGCTGTTCTATGTTCAGTGCACAGAATAATACTAGGGACTCGCAAATTTTATCAGTATAAAAACGTATACTTTATATGTTGTGTTTTTCCATGGACTACTAAAACAAAATGAAGCACAGTTTGTTTCTTTTTTCTTTTACTATTCTAAGAATACATTTATGCTCATATCAAAAAATGTTCTTATATGATAAAAAAGGAAGATAAATAAGGAGATTTTTCTTCTCTGTTATTTCTGATATTTATCCTTAATTAAATCTGAAGTCTTTTCATGCTTATGAGCTTTGACCATTTCCATGACTTGACTATTTCTTAGAAGTAGCCAAATGAATTAATAGGAAAAGAAGAGATAATTTCTTAGGCCTTTTATTATCCAATTCAAAAGCATGAAGCTTTTTCTCATTCTATTCTCAAAAATTGCTAGGTGACTTCCAGATGAATTTAAGTCTTCCCAGTCCCTGTGCCTATCGAAGTCCCTAGTTTGCTTCAATGAACAGAGAGTGAGCTTGTCGGTTATTAATTGTTCTGCTGTTTATTGCAGGAAGGCAATTGGTATAAGGCCATGCATGTGATCACAATTGTGTCTCCTCAGGTTTCAATGCATATTCTTGCAGGAAAACAGAAAGATAAAAAGATTAGGCATTTTACATATTCAAGTATGCAAATACTTTAGAAAATTCTAAATTTACATTATTATAAAACCCTTATTTCCAAGAATCCCTTCTTTTAATCTGGAAAATCCTGACAATTTTGAGGACTGAGTTTGAGAAAATGTTAATTACAAAAGAGTCCATTAGAAATAGCTATAAAGACTTATGACATAAAAAAAAAAAAACAGAAGACAAAAATAGAAATAAAACTGTGGTATTATAACAAACTAAAAATCTTCTGCATAACAAGGCAAACAAACAGAATAAAGAAGCAATTTATGAAATGATAAAATACTCATCATTATCATTTAATGAAAGATTAATTTTTAGAACATACAGAAAGGTCTATCATTAAAAACACAGTCAAATGAACAAAACCCCAATAACCTGATGTGAATAGGAACACTGAATTATTATGTTGTAGAACAACATATACCAAATACGTACAAAAATTATGAATTTCTGTGTGCCTATCTGTAAATGCATAAAAATACATTTGGAATTACATACCTTAACTTCTTAGTACTTTCATTTTAATGCTTTATTTATTGTTTTAATATTTGTTGATATTGTTAAAAGATATTGTCATTAATGATCAGGAAAAAGCTAAACAAAACTACACTGAGACATTTTAAACATTTCAGGATAGTCATAGTGTCTTAGTTACTTTTCTCTTCTTTGAGACAAAATACCTGACACCCACAATTAGAGGAGGAAAGGTTTACACATCTCACAGTTTGTAAAGGTTTCAGTTCATAATGAATTGACTTCAAGGCAGAGTGGCATGGCAGAGGGGCAACCATTCATGGTGACAAAAGACAGTAAAAGCAACAAGAACAAATGGGAGAAAAGAAAACAACAGCCCTCTTTCCATCCTCTACACTGCAAGTAGGCTACCGTCCCCATAGGACCAGTGTAGCATTCATCCCATCTCCAGGATCTTCTCATGCCCAGACTCAGAATATTTACAAAAAGAACACCCTGGCTCCCTGCTGTGTCACTTAGTTAAACTTCTGAACTTCTCAAGTTGATACAATGTATCAACCATTACACATGGCCAATGCATATGTGTGTGTGTGTGTGTGTGTGTGTGTGTGTGTGTGTGTGTGTGTGCACGTGTTCATTCATGTGCCTCAGTTCACAAACAGAAATGCTTGCCAAAATTTTGTTTTTGTTTGGAGAACATGACCACGGCCGTATGTACCACAGCAAGAAGAATATGGCCATCTTTTCCAAAATCATAGAATAGAATAAGTTTGTGAACCTGTATGTGTCTGTGTGTGTGTGTATTTAAGTTTTTGACTATATTAGAATCCTTGCACACTCTTGGTGGAAGTGTAAAACTGTACAATTCCAGTGGAAAACAGTATAAAATTGCATCTAAAAATTTAAAGTATAACTGCTACATGATATAGCAACCTACCTCTGGATATTTATACAAAGGAATTTAAATTATTATGTTGAAGAGATATGAATGCACCTATTTCTGCTGAAGTTTACTTCCTGGAGGTTAGAGAATGGAAAAATTGGGAAGTTAGCAATCAGTATTCATAAATCTCAGGCTCAAATCAGATGAATAAGCTCTAGAGACCGCCGTATAATATTGTGTCTATCGTGCCAACAGTCACGTATAGTATACTAAAATTTGGATGAGAGTAGATCCGAAGCTAGGTGTTCTTACTGCAATATTTCCAAAGGCAAATGAAGCAAATGTGGACAAGGCTAAATTGGCCTGGTAATAATATGCAACAGTTTTGTAGCTTTTGTTTATTCAGGTAAGTTTTGTACTTTTCACATCTTTGTTCACTGGGCAGCTATCATGTAGGGCTGCTACCCCTTTTCTGCATTTGTTCATTTGCAATAAAAGGGGCTATTGATAGTCCCGTGGGTTAGGCTTATTCTGGGAACAAATGAAACGGTATTTACAAATTTACACCCGAAAGCCTTGTACATGTGCATATCACAGGCACATTCAATTTTAGGGCTAGGGTTAAGTTAGTTTCTTTATGTTTGGTTACACATCTGGAAGTACTCTTGTGTTTTGTTGTGGTTTTAGTTTTTAAGGAAGGCATGACTCCACTGTCACACCTTCCACACTGTTTGGAGAGGCATTCTCCTGCTTACCACAGCCTCAGCTCTAGCTCTCTCTGTGCTTTCATAGATGGAAATATCAGTAGAAACCTTTTAAAGTCATCATGTATGTGTCATCCTTAAAGACCTTTCCCCATCTCTGGTAATCTAATGTTAAAATTTTTATATTTTCTGATTATAATTTCATTTTCACTCTTCAGTACCTCTAAAACCATGAATTTATCCTTCAGAAGCCCAACTGATGAATAAAAGATATATTTGAAAAGGTGAATTCCTTCTTTGAGTCACTTTGTTACTAGTGGTTTGGTGGTTATGCTTTGTGTTACTATTAACATTAATAGAGGAACTGATTTGATATTCACATAATGACTGTGAGTTGTTAGTATCTTGGGATTTTCGTGGAAGTTTGGTTTGATGCAAAAAATTAACATTATAGAACCACAGTAACACACATTTTAAATTGAACAAGAAATTGTATTATTAACAAAAAAATCCACTTTCATTTTTCATTTTATTCTATTCTTGAGTAATTATAATATTTATAAATAATAAAAGTTTTATGAAGAATAGCACTACACTACCAGATAATTGGAAAAGTATGTCGAACGTGCTGAATTCCGCTTTTGTGAAGCAAATGCTGAATTTCAGTGGTGTGTCTGTACGCCAGATGGTTCTGCAATCTTAATAGTAATTGTTTTCCAGTGACATAGCTTACAAATAAATTCTACGTTAAATAAAAACACATATAACAATAGCTGTGTATACATATATTTAGCTATTTTATGACAAATAGGCCAGTAGATAGCATGGATTAGCTAAGTTTTGGCTGTTTTTACCAAATTACTACAACTAGTGTAATCAAGGAGAATTTCCATACTAATTACTTGTGTTCAAGCCATATGAGAAAGCTTTGGACATAAGCTGTGCAATTCATTCTGATTGCTACCAAGTAATTCTTTACAGACCTTTTAGTCAAAACTGGAGCTGATTTTCAGCAGCATAATTTTCAACTTTTAAAAATATGGCTAATTAAAACTTTATGAGTGGCTGATAGAACGGAAAGGTCTTATATTTGAGAATTTAATTAGACAGTAGCTAGACAAGAAGACAAATTTTTACCAATGTGTGTGTGTGTTCACATATGCACATGTATGGGTTTTATTTCTGAAGAGGATAAAATTATTAATATATTTAAATAATAATTTTCTCTGTCAGCTAAGACTCCTAAAGTTTACTTGACCTTGTCTTCTATAAGCAATTTTGTTTTGTTCTTTCCACTAGACCATGATGTCATACACCTCTTTCCTGGCTGATTTTCTAACTAAGCAAAATACGGAACAAGAAGCCAATAAGTTTCAATAAGATTTCTGCACTACAAGCTCTTCTGAAGAATCCAGCAGAGATTTTTCTGCTAACAACAACAACAACAAAGGAAATAAATAAACATTTAAGGATACCGAATAGTCAAAGATTTGGAGAGACTCTTTTTGTTTTTCCAAATATTTTATGCCTGGTGTCACTGAGACAACTTTTAGCATTTGCTTGGTGACTAACTTAATGGTAAACTTAGTATTGTTGTCTGCATATTTATTTGAAAATACTGTTTTGCATTTGGTTTAGAGCATAATTTTTAAGATTGCTCCTAATGTCACGAACAAGAGTTGTAAACAATACAACAAGCAGTGTTTGTCTTGTGCATCCCACTGTGTTCCCTATCCCAGCAGCTGTGATTTTTCAAAACACAGTATAGGATAATTTAACTTCCAGAGGGTGAGGAGTCTCTGGAAAAGCGTCTGTATAACAGACATTCACCTGCTCAGTACGTGTATGATTTTTTGGGGTGTGGTAACATTTTAATATGTCAGCCATTTAAGTCAGAGCAGAAACATTTAAGGATTCATTTTACAGTAGAGGAAACAAGGAGAATATATGAAACATGTCTTTTTGAGGAGGGCAAACAGAAATAAATACTGTGTTCCTGGGTAGTTTAAAGATGTTAAACCCTGGAGAAGAAGAATGTATATAAAAAAGCATCAGAATTTTCAACATCGACTGGTTTTGGTGTACAAAATCTGAAAAAGAACATCAGAAATGAAATTCTATATGGACTACAGTGAAAATACAAATGCCACTCTGCAAAATAATCTTTATTTCAGTTATCACACCTAAGGCAGTCTGCACACAAGACAACACATTCAATACACGCACATCACTTACACTGACAGCACATGTGTTTGTTTCTTGGCCTTTTTGTGGGACATGCATGATATATGGCTGGTCTTATTATTTTTTCATGAGATTCTTATTATATTATACAGTGTTTAGTTAACAAGATCATAAAATATCAAATGAGGTAAAATATTAAATTCTGAATATGTGTTGTGCATTTAGAATAATGTAAACATTTTTACATCAGTTATGTGCTTCCTTGAAAAAAGCCTATATAACCTACAATGATAACACCAAGAGAACTCTACCACAAAAAATAAAATAAAAGAGCTTTGCTCCTCCTGTTACACTCAAGGCAGTCTTCACATATGACAACTGCATGTTCTATACACAAATATTGCTTATTCTGAGTGCAGTTGACATCTTTCATGTTTTTTTGGGTTGCCATAGAGGGTTTTTGTGATGCTTCACCTTCCTATACACCTGTGCTGTTGTTTTTTGTTTGTTTGTTTGTTTTTTATTTTTTTTGCATTGTTCACTGGGCAAAAACATTTTGTTTTTCCTCTGCTAGAAATGATCTATTTGACTTCTAGTCACAATCCTCAACGAAAATTTCTCTATCGTATTTTGCACTTGCTATTTTCTTTGTAAACTAGCAAACTACGCCACCCATGTTTAGGATCCAGTAAACTACAGCCATTGTCCAATGCTCTGTTACAGGTTATATCACAGCTGCCATAACACACCATCATCATCTATTCCACATTCAGTTTTGCTGCTGGAAGTTCCCACTAAGCTGTTTTGTTAACTTTTCCAGACCAATATTTTCATGATGGTGAAATGCTTACAATTTGATTTTCTTTGTCATATATGAAGCCAATGTTATATGTTCCTGAAATGCAAAATTGTACTACAAAGTTCTCTGTTTTGAAATCGCAACATTTCATTTGCAATTTCTGCTTAGTTCAGGTGTACAGTTCCTGCACTGGTAAACTTGTGCTCTGCTAGCAATTTTAATATCAATTAAAAACCGGTAAACCAGTTGTTGCATGTCACTTCCTAATTAGTTTGGAAGATGTGAGCATGTCTTTTAACCATGTCATTCAGTTTATTACTATTTGAATAAGGACCTGATGGTTGAATTCCAAGATCAATTGAAAGTATAGTAAGTCTTTGCATCTACAAGGGCATAAATTCTTGTGTCATAAGTTGACCATCATTTTTCCATAAGCCTTATTTTCTGACAGAGTCTTACTTTGTAGTCCAGGTTGGCCTTGAACTCACTATGCAACCAGGTTGGCCTCGAAGTTGTGGCTATCCTCCTACCTCAGCCTCCCAGGTATTGGAATTAAAGTTGTGCACCATCACTCTTGACTTCTATAAATCTTTTATATTCCTGTAACCACCATGAGAAATCTGTGCTACATATAGCAGACCTATCAATACTTTCAGTTCAAGTAGTGAGGGGTCATAGTTAATACATTTTTAATATGGCTATTAGTGCATACAGAATGTTTGACTTGCATTTCAGCCTTTGTGTATTTCGAAGTATCTTGTAGCATTTTATCTGTTACAATTTCCAATACTGAATGGCAATGTTGACATTATGTTCAATATATTTCACCCCTGCACAACACCTTCATTATATTTTCTTTTGAAACTAGCTCTAATATGAAACTGCTCCATTTAGTTACATGGTCATTTCACAATGTCAAATATATACTTACCTTGCTATTATATTCTTTGGCATCTGAATCAAGGAATTCTGTATTCCCTGTGCCTGTATCATTTATTCTTGCTCCATTTCTCTGTCAAAGGAACTTTGGCTTAGATGGCCAGTGTCAATGTCATCATCATTATTATCATCGTCCACTTACACCCTTCTTCTGTCATGAAAGCACATATTTTACCATAATGGATCATCTTCATTATCAATGCATGAGCAATATGATGATTTACTTTTGATCTCCTCCAAAACTTGGAAATCTGGTTTTATCATGTGGCATTTTACTATCTGGGCTACCTCCACCAGGAAAATCAAAAGAAAACATTTTAATAACAAATCTTGGGGTATGTGGATCTGTTGAACCCTCTGTGATGCTCAGGTAAACATACACACAGCTAGTTAGAGCGTAAGGTGGATATGAACACTATTTTGCTACTTCTGCACAAGTACACACTCCTTATTAGTCATCGTAACAAGTGGGGAGACACATATATTGCTTCCTGTATCCCTCATAGAAAAGTACTGAGATGCACAACTGAAGTACAAATTTACAGTAGGAAAGTAAGGGATGTGTTCACTGGATTCAGTCATATACTCCTCATGTATTTTAGAAGTCTCATTTGACCTTTTACAATACATTTGTGTGACTTTGCTTGAGATACAACTATATAACAAATTTTTAGTAGCTGTCATTTCTATGATAAGGGGCTTTCTCAGACGTGAATAGTAAGAAAATCTGGATTGTAACATAAAGATATCTTAAAAGCCGATATTGGGAACAAAAAGAAGAAAGGTCATAACACTTAAAAGTAACTTAGAAAATTTTAATTTATTAAATTGCAAGATGTTAAAACATTTCCAAATTTGCTTTGCAACAAATTAACTCAGTTTAACTTGGGAATTCTGAAAGAAAGAAAAACTACTTATTTTTTCACTTCCATGTGTTTGATGAAAATAGTATTAAACTCGCAGAGCGTTGACACAGTATTAACCAGGCAAGTTCACGGCCATGGATAGATCACTGTTGACCCCATGTCAGAAAACAGAGGACTAAAAAAAGAAGGTGCACGATAGGTAAACTGGCTTTGAAAAGTGTGATGCAACCATAAACTAGAGGAATGAAATTAGACTAGAACTTAAACTCTGCTTTTTAATTTTTTATCAATTTATTTTTGTCGTTGTTGTGCTGTGAAACAAACTGAGGGCCTTGTACATGCAAGGCAAAACCCCACCACGGTGACACATCCCCAGGCCTCTTATGATATTTTAAGGAAAATATAAAATTTAAATATTATTTTCCCTTTCATGAAAAGATTGATTAAATACATAATATCAACATTATGTTTTTGGGACCAAATAGTTTCTTAATTATATGAGTACCGTATAATAATTCTATTTACCTCTGTAATGACGACCCAGGATGCCTTACCGATTTTTTTCTCTTCCCATAGTTTTCTTTGTGTCAGGTTTAATGGTACTTTCTTAGATTTAAACATAACCCCATTTGTATGTAAAGAAACATAGTGGACGGAACATTTATTCAGAGTGGCAGTAGGGAAACCTTCAGGTCTACCCTGTGTTTAGAGTTTCCTTTCACATCTATTCTTACTAGTTTCTCTTTTTTTGTGCGGGAATAGTTTGGCAGCCCTTACACAGCAGGTGAAGGGAGGGGCAGTTGAAGAAAGCAATCCATTTTTGCCCTCCAAAACTGGCTGTTAGGTTTTCTCCTGCTGGTTCAGCATCTCCAGAAGGGATAAGATGGGTTGGCAGTAAAAGATGAACAGCAACAGAACAGTGTTAAAATGTTTATAGAACACCTATAAAATAACCCCTGAGGTTTCCGGAAGAGGCTGGCTTGTAGTTAAAGAATAGGCTGCAGACTCCTGGCAGAAACCCTGCTGCACAGAGAGGCAGTCTTCATACTCACTAAACCAGTTCATCGCCACCACCTGCTTTCACCTTTCCTTGAACGCTCTTATTTAAGGAGACCAGAAATTTGGTGCATACACACACACACACACACACACACACACACACACACACAGACGCATACCCCTCACTGATTCATTATATTTTACTTTGAATTCATTAACTTTCTGTGGTTGTTGGACTGTATCTGCTGTTACTGTTGTAATACTGGGATCTGCTGTGAGGCTACGGTGCCTGGGCCACGGTTCTCTGATCCTAGCAACTTGAAGTTGGTGGTTTCTGTGGTAAAAGGTGGGAAAACCACTAATCTTACTCAGTTTATGAGACATTAAATAAGGATGTCTCAGAGAAGGACTGAATAAACCAAGAAATTACTGAAAATAAGAAGGAAAAGATTGAGACTGTCCAAAACTTCAGGGCATGCAAATATTATATAATTCCTTTTTATTATTCAATGTTTCATTAAGATGTTATATGTAACAAAAGAACAATTTTTACTGTTATTTAAACTACATTATGATGATATTGGATTAGTCATTCACGTCTGACACTAAATTTACAGCCTCAGTGGCTTAAAAATTTAAGTCCATTTCATTTAATTTCTCACTTTTGAATGACAATGGAAATTTTGTTGCTTTAATGACTTGGTATTGTAGTCAGGGTTCACAAGAAAAACAATTTAATACAGGACATAATTTATAGAATTATTTTTCATTTTTATTTTTAATATTTTTTCCTTTTTTATTCAGATAGAAAAAAGAAAAACAGAAAAATGGGTGGAAATTATACAAAATTTAAAAATAAACACTAAGAATTTATTAGTTGATAAATTACATGCTGTTATCTTAGAAATAGTTGTGTAAGCTACAAATTAAAGCATAATAAGCAGACAGTGAATTGAAAACGGTTCTGTTCAATGATCCAACAAGAACTTAGTAATACGGTTATCCACTTGACATACTTAAACATACATGCAATTATATCCTTTAGAGAACTTTCTTTTTTTTCTTTTTTTACAGTAGCAATTATACCTTTTGGGTTTTATTACTCCTACGGCTCTTACTTATTTTTATACTTGAGACACAATGTGATATTTATAAACATGATTCTTAATTATTTCACTTACGAAGATTGTTTCAAGTTGCCTCCATTTACCTCTGAAGACCTCAAGATCATCCTTTTTATAGCTGAGTAATATTCCATTGTATAAAATACCACATCTTTTTCTTCCACTCTGCAATTGATGGTCATTTTGGTTATTCCCAAGACTTAGCTATTACAAATGGTGCCACTATGAACATGGGTACACATATATCACTGTGAAATTACCTTTTCAGTTTTTCTGGGAAAAAGGATGGGAATAGCTGTATTTAATGGAATTTCCAATCCTAGTCTTCTGAGAAATCTCCATATTGATTTCCATAGTGGATGTACCAGTCTACACTCCCACCGACAGTGGAGTAGTGTTCCTTTTTCCATGCAGCCTTGCCAAACGCAAGGCCTGAGGCATCACAATTCCTGACTTGAAATTATACTACAGAGCTACAGTGATAAAATCAGCATAGTACTGACAAAGAAATAGACCTGAAGATAAATAGAACAGATTAGAAGATGCAAACACAACTTCAAAGACACTCAGCCACCTGACATTTGACAAAGGGGCTAAACATATTCACTGGAAGAAGGATAGTATCTTTCAAAAATGATGTTGAAAAAATTGGCTCTCCAGATGCCGAAGGCTAAAACTAGACCCATGCCTATCAGCATTCACTAAACTAAAGGCAAAATGGATCAAAAACCTAAATATTAACACTAAATCTACTGAAGACACGGTAGGTAGAAGTCTTGGAGACATAGGGGTAGGCAGAGAATTTATGACCAAAGCACAAACTTCACAGCAAATACTTCAAAGAATCAACAACTGCAATCTCATATTATAAAAAGTTTTTGCACTTCCAAAGAAATCACCAACAGAGTGAAAAGAAAACCCACAGAATGAGAAAGTATTGTAGCCAAAAATTCCTCAAAGAACTTATACCAAAACATGTAAAGAATTGAAAAACATCAAGCCCAAAATTCAAAGACCTTCTCCAAAAATGAGCATCTGAGATGAATGCACATTTCTCAGATGAAGATATACAAAGGCAAATAAATACATGAAGAAATGCTCACCATCCCTGATCATTCGAGAGATGCAAATTAAAACAGCTTTGAGATTTCATCTCACTCAGGAAAGAATGGATGCCATCAAGAAATCAACGGATAACAAATTTTGTTTTAATTTTTAAATAGAATTATTTTACAATAGTCACCCAAAGCATCAAAACCAAAAAAGTACAGGAATCTAC